TTCCTCTAAATGAGATCGGTTTTCCAGGGTGAACTAAACTGAAAGCGAGGTATTTCAAGCTGCCATATGAGTACATATGAGGACAAAATACTACATCCCATGAAAACACAAAGAATCCACTTACCACTACCAGGTATAATGATGTTAAGGATCAAACAAACCACAGCAGCGTTGAAAGGTAAAACAGGGATACTCTTAACAAAATCACCAGCTGTGTTCTTCTCTTCTCGAGGACCACGAGATTTGTATACATTATTGTTTTCGCCTTGTTTACCGCATTCTCCTGTGCGTTGAGAGCTGTTTGCATCAGATTTTAAATGATTTCTCTCAGCAATTGTTTGACCTCTTAGTGCAGAGAGGCTTAACTGCTCGTGAGTTTCAAATGGATGTACGGACTCCGGGTATGGATGAGCAAAAAGCGACCCTCTTGGTAATAGAACATGACTAGGTACATGAAAGCTGTTTTGAGCAAGAAGCAGTGGCTTCACAAAGTGTTTCTTCGCTGGCTCACTTCGATTCTCTTCATCACTCTGGCTTTTCATTTTCCGCTGTAACCGTCTTCAGCTAAGTTCAAACATTGGTTTTAACCGGTTCAAGAACGCGCAACACAATTCTGACTGTAAGAAAAAGCCTTGTCACATTTGCATTCGTCCCATGTCTTCTTAAAAAAATTTTCATTTACAAGTAATTACTCTTTTCACTGCGACAGCAGTCTGTTTGTTTAAGCTGTTTGTCGTCGAGAGCTTTAGCTTTTCATCATATCTGATAACACTTGCTATAAAGAAAAGCCGCGCAATAGCTCCGGCAGTGCTGACGTTTTGGTTCTTCCACTGATCTAAGAACGAAATATCAACGATTAAAAAATTATATTTTCTTAAATGTTGAATTTAATTCTTTCAGTGTTAAATTCATGTGAAAACTATAGTATTTCATAATATGAAACGGATAATTGTCAGAATTGTTTCCCGTTTGTCAGTATATTTGCATATCATGAAATTTGTGTC